GAATGATAGTTACATGCTATTAGTGGGAAGCTTTATTAACCACCCTTAACAAGTTTGCTAACTTGTGTAATGCACATAAACTGGACTCTATGAAACAACAACATTTATTAGCAAAAGCTGATAAATAATTGGTTCTATATTCATCTAATTGAGTTTTAAAATTGATCCTTAGAATGCTAATTCAAAGTTTAATAGTCTTATACATTCCAATTTATTTGTAGAATTTTCGGAGTCACTGCGGGAAATGGGTTCTTGTCTTCTTCAGAAAACTGCACTAAATGATGATGAAGAAAGTGGTGAGGTTCTAAATTCCCTTATGCATTTATTTATGATTTGTCTTTAAGTAGTGGGTGATGTATTGTTTAGTCGTGCTTCACTGAGGACTGAGTTTGTCACCTTGATGTCTCCTGGGGAATAAGCAACCTGTTAATTTTTGTTTCTCCCTTTGGCATCCTAGTCACCTAAAATGTTTGCGTGGTATTATATTGAAATCATGCTCTTGGTGATTGTTTTAATCTTCAAATTTGAAATAGAAAAAAAAAAATCAATATCAAAGTTCTAGGACCATAGTTTGGATCTGTATTGGAAGTCAGAGTGATACCTTATTTTTTTCTCATCTCAAATGCTTTTATTTTTATCAATCTTAAATCTTCAGGTAGGCTTGCTTCTGTTCGTGAATCCTAGACTGACTTTTATTTATGAACTGGTATTAGACCCTAATAGTTGATTTGGTTTTCTTCAAGTACTGTAGGAATGCAAATGTGTTTGTCTGTTTCCACTTCTTTGCCTCTCTCTCTCTCTCTCTCTCTCTCTCTCTCTCTCTTGTACATATTTATGTCCTTGTGTATTTAGTAATTTTTTTTGTTACAAAAACCATTTTGAGGAAATATAAATATTTATTTTTATTTTCCTTAATTGTCTTGCAGGTAGAGTTCTACTAAAGCTAGGGAAATTGCAATTTGAACTCCACAAACTTGTTGATAGCTATGTGAGGCTCTATTGTTATATGAAAACTAGTTAAGAAACCTTTCCTTGAGTTTTGCTCTACTAATAGTTTCATTGCTTTGCATATTACAGCGCTCTCATATCTTCCAGACAATTGCAGTTCCCTCAGAATCTCTTCTTAATGAACTTCAAACAGTTGAGGTGTGTTTGCTTGGACCCTTTGATCTAATAAGCTTATAGCAAGTGTTGTATGGGCACTTTTTTTTATATGCACAAGTTATACATTGCTGTAGGTGTTTCCATCCTATGTTTTAATTATCCATTTGTATGTTCTCTTCATTTCAAGCCTTAACACTTTTCTTTTAGGCACGGGAGGACGAAAGGGGGTTGATTATTGTTGTCTCCTCCTTACTCTCCGTTACCAGTTTTAGTGTTGTTTAGACTATTAATATCTGCCCCAAATGCTTTATTTTTCCTTGGCAGACTTTTTATATCAGGGTTAGTGCTTCTGTGTGAACATTGCATTTACATATGTTAAAGTGATGTTTGTTCTTTCATGTTGATGCAGGAGATGAAGCGGCAATGTGATGAAAAAAGGTATTACAAGCATTGTATGTTTTCATATGAATACATTTGTATATCTGTGTTTAGATGAATGTCCTCTCATATGGTGCATGATCTACAGAGATGTATATGAGTATATGATAAAGAGACAGAAAGAGAAAGGGAGGTCAAGAGGTGGAAAAGGAGAGAGCTTTTCTGTGCAGCAAATACAATTGGCTCGCGAAGAATACGATGAGGAGGCAACACTATTTATTTTCCGGTTGAAATCTCTGAAGCAAGGACAATCTCGTAGTCTTCTCACACAGGCAGCTCGTCATCATGCTGCTCAGGTTTTTTTTTTTCTTTTTCCTTCCGTTTTTCTTGTTGTTCATATTCATTAAAGTGTTCTTAGTTTTTTCTTTTTTCCTGCTTGAAACAGTTGTCCTTCTTCAAGAAGGCACTTAGATCTGTGGAGTCAGTAGAGCCACATGTGAAATTGGTAACCGAGCAGCAGCATATTGATTACGAGTTCAATGGGCTAGATGATGAAGGGAATGGCGATAACAATGATGATGATAATGACGATGATGATAGCGATGTGAATGATGATGGAGAATTGAGCTTTGACTATGGACAACGTGACCATGATCAAGATGTTTCTACATCGCAAAATTCAATGGAGGTCTTGCTACAATTTAATCTACTTTTACTAAACTGCATTTGTCCTGTTGAAATGCATTTAAAATATAATTCAGAATAGAGTTGGGAGAACCAGCTGTAGCTTTTTACCAAGGAAAATACTTTGAAACAGCTATGACCCAAAAAAGGGATTTTTATTCTTTCTTTCTCAAACAGCTATATGTCGTGCATGTTTAAGTAACAGTATGAAAAATCAGTCTTAAAATAGTGCGCAAAACAGTCATTTCAGAAGCACTTTTATGCAATATATTCTTGCAACAAGCGTGATATTATAGGGATATGGGGACCTTGTTGCCGTTTTCTCTTTTAAAATTTCTGAGACATTTTGACATCAGCCTCAACTTTATTGCAGTTGGATCAGGTGGACATTACCTTTCCTAAATTAGCACAAGTGGAAGCTCTCAAGGTAAACATCCACTCTGTAATCAGTTCATCTGTTCACAAATATAGCAGGTCTGTAATGCACTTTCTAGTCTGCTCTTTGTAATGCACTTGAGATGCATAGTCGGATTGGATTGGCCTGAAAGAAAAAAAAGTGTTGTTATTGAATCCTTCTATCTATTCTATCCTCTGATAAATTGCAAGAAGGTAAATGTCTGCAGTGGTATCTCTATACTCTTAGAAGTTCATATACCTTTATCTAGTCAAACTGTGTCTTGTTCGAATGACTCAAGGTTGTACCGTGAGCTTCTAATTCTAGTTTAGTTGTTGACTGGTTTTTTTCTTGCCTTTTTACACCTCTGCACATCAGCACATGCTAAAGGTACAACACAGTCCATTGCACAGTTCTAGAACCTGGAGACGTTTTATTACGTTCAATTCCTACATGGATGACTTTAAAAACTTTATCTAGAAGATGCTTCGAGTTTCTAATTTGTTGTAGCTTATGAATCTCATGCTTATCATTTGACCTATTACCAGGACAGATTCCGTAGGAATTCATTTTCCTTTAAGGGTAGGACAGTCAGCCAATCAGCTCCACTTTTTGCTGAAAATAACTCAGATCGAGCAGAAAAAATGAGACATAGGCAGCCATCATTCTCACGGAAGTTCCACTCGTATGCACTACCTACACCAATTGATAAGAAGAGTTCAGTTTCTACTGGATCAGATAATCCAGTGCCCCACACTGTACAGACAAGTTTAAGTGAGCGAACGCAGAATTTGTGGCATTCATCCCCTTTGGATCCAAAGAACGAAAAAGCCATGGGAGAGAAGAAAGTTTCTGGAATCAATTTTATGAATGTGCAATCAGTACTCAAAGAGAGCAACAATAATATTGCATCGCATCAATTACCCCCTCCTCTCACAGGTCGGTATTTGTTTTCGGAGCAGGTTCCACTGGCTGCTTCTGACTCTAAAGAAAGAAGAAGACAAGCATTCTCTGGTCCATTGACAAGTAAGCATTGGGCTTCCAAGCCTGTCTCCTCAGACCACCACCAAATGTTTTCTGGACCTATATTACGAAATCCAGTGTCTCAACCTCTGTCATCTTCGCCTAAAGTATCCCCAAGTGCTTCACCTACCTTTATGTCCTCGCCTAAAATAAGTGAGCTTCATGAGCTTCCAAGGCCCCCTGCTAGTTCAACCTCTAAGTCTTCAAGACCTCTGGGTTTAGTTGGTCATTCAGCTCCCTTGGTTCCTAGAACACAAATGCAATCTGCAACAAATAAACCAGCGGTGTCACCTACAGCAGCAGCTCAATCTGCAACAAATAAACCAGTGGTGTCACCTACAGCATCTCCGCTGCCAACACCTCCGACTATCGCCCGTAGTTTCTCTATACCCTCGAGGGATCCTGGAGCTATGGAGTTTCATGTAACCGAACCACAAGAAGGTTCCCCTGTTCCTGAAATGGCTGCAGACAATGGTTCACCTCCTTTGAGTCCACTAGCCTTACCTAACACAGCTAAGTGATAGTCAACCAGCTCTGACATTGTCATTTGGGCTGTTCAATTCAGAGGTAGTTTGAACACTCAAATACTGTTTCTTTCTATTAAGGTTAAAAATGAATGTTGAGGCTGTGTTCTAACAAACTAATACTATTATGTGTTTCATTACCGAAAAGCAACTTCTAGGGACTTGTACATATCAATTGATCATGCATTTAACATCTAGGTAACTAGTTGGGGAGATTATTATAAGAATCTTTCGTTTTGTTGGCTGTATAAATGGGATTTATGTACTTTTGGGACGTGGAACTTCTTTGTTTCTAAGTGGAAATATATTTTTTGAATGCAGGTGGGGATGGATTATTCATTTCGTGGTGATATCTTGTTTCTAACGAGGCAACAAATTGTTTTGGGGGGAGAAAGATTATGTTTTCTTCCACTCGTAGAGGTGCACAAATGTAAATATATCTTTGTCCATGATATTTGTTAGTTGTTTATTGCCATTTTTACTAGCTAGTTATTTTGTGTTATTGGGCATATGGCATAAATTGTAAAATAATTGCCATCTTGTTCCATCATCTGAGGAATTTTGTAACTATCCCCAGCAATTAATAGTTAATAATTCTCATTCTCCCTTATGGCACTTTTCCTTTCTCTCTTGTTATCATCTTCCCCAACTTTCTGATCGTTTTGATAAAGAAATTTCCATAATGAATGGTTGATATAGAATTTGCCCAAGTGCTCATTAAGATGATTGTGTTATGACTTATCAGATACAAATCCAAACCCAAGTGAGGAGGAGGAAGATCTGTGTTGGCTACCCAGATATGTTATACCACGAGGCTTGGCTTAGTACATAGAACCTGCTTTGAGGTTGCTGGAGATTTGATGGAAATAATTACAGTAACAGTTCCTTTTAACTTTGGGTGAATTAAAGAAGCCAATGGGTAGTAAGTTGTGGTAATCACATTAGTGAAACATAAAAGGCTGTCTCATAAAAAAAGAAAAATGGACAATGTAAATACAAGTGGAGATGGAATTTTGGCAACCCTTTGTTGCCTTTTAGGTATAGTATATAGTATATTAATGGTACACATCATTTGCAGCTCCCTCTGGTATCGTATCTCACAAATCCCATCAGTTCTGGTCCTTCCAGTCTTGGGTTATTCTTGAAACTACATCCAGACAAACAATAAAAACACAACCCACTAAGAACCAAACCTCAAAACTAAACAAACAGAAACAAAGTTTTTAATTCAATTTGCACATGCGAATGGTTAAATGTTAATCACCTTTCCTCTGAGAACTTGGAGAAAGGGCCCGAGGTTGGGAAAGTACCACATAAATCGTTGTTGGATACATCACTGCACAGGTTTATTTATTTACTATTAATTTAATGTAACCTGATGAGATTAGAGGGAGGTGGAGAAAATAATTAAAGGGTAATGTTGGGTTTTGCATGAAGATGACTTACAGGATCTTCAGATTCTGAAGTTTGGTAAGTTCCCTTGGAATTCTTCCAGTCAGTCTGTTACCATTCAGTCTCCTGCATGGAATGGAAGGAACACTTGCTTAAATGAGCTTACCGCTAATTAAGGGGTAAAGAAGTTATTAATCAAAAAGAGGAAAGAAAAAAACGAGTGATGTGATGTGGTGCTTACAAGAATTTAAGATTGGAGAGGTTGGAAAGGGAGGGTGGGATGGCCCCAGAGAAGTTATTGTGGTAGAGATCCAAGCTCACAAGGCTCTTCAATCCTCCAAGCTCTTTTGGTATACAACCCATCAAGTTGTTCATGTACAATTCCCTATTATATTATATAACAAGAGAAACACACACCAACCCAATACTTGCCATCAGTCACTAAACTAAATGCTCCTCTTACAATATTAATTCCAGATGCATGATAATTTATAATCCGACGGTGGTGGGCTGTCTGGCTGGTGGGGTTGGTGAGATTGATCATAAATGTGTCCACTGTTGTTGCCGTATAAGCCAACAATTCAAGTGATTAAGCATTGAATTTGTTTGTTTGCTTTTTATATAAAGATTTATTATTCATATGAGACAAGCAAGCCAAAGAAGAAGAAAATATAAAACAGTGAAGCTGTAAATTAAATGGGGGAGACTCACAGATACTGAAGGCGCTCGAGCTTCCCTAACTCGGGTACTAGACTGCCCGATAAGTTTGCATTTCCAAGGTCTCTGCGCATACAATATTATTCTACACTAATTACTACTTCATCTTTACAAAATAAAATCAAACAACCAAACAACTTCATATCAATCTTTTTTCATTTGCACTATACAAAAAGAGAAGGGAAAGAACAACAAAAGAAGCTGAACTGCACGCAAAATGAGCATGGTTTTTCTTTGTTCTGTTTTTTTTTTTCTTTTTAATTTCTTTTCAACTGTGTGTGAGCCGCCTGATCACGGGCTTCCAAGGAAGGGGGAATGAATCATATATAAAAACGAAATGCAGTGTACTTCCATATATTTTATACTCTATTTATAAGAAAACAAAAACAGCAACCTAGCTCATTAATAATTAATGTAAACCAAGTAGAATATTTTGGAGAATCTAATCTAAGAACCAGAGAGCAGATAAACACACAATCCTTTTGGCTAAAAAAGAAGAAGATAAACACACAATCTTAACCAAAGCATTAAAAACAACTCAAAAAAAGAGAAGAGAAAGTGAAGAGATGAATTACAGTCGTGTGACCCGATTGTCAGCGTCGCAAGTGACATGAAACCAAGTGCAGGGATCAACCAAGGTGGGATCCCAGCTCTGCAGAACACTCTTTGGGTCATTCACAGCTCTTCTCAACGCGTACAGAGCATCCCCTGTTTCATTCACAGACAAACATTAACGCATTGGAGAGTTGCATATAATATACTTAAGATAGTGATTAACTTAAGGGACACTTAAACTTATTGTGCATGTTTGTATACCTTCTAAGTTTGCACTTGTGGGTGCCAAAGGGCAGGAGAGAACAAGGGCAGCAGCAGCAACAAGATGAAGCAAACCCCAGATCGCCATTTTCTGAAGCTTAGTTGAAAGTGGGGGTTGAAACTTAAAAGCCTCAGTGGACCTTAAAAGATTCAAGATGCTTAAGGGTACTTTCAGAGAGTGTGTGTGTGTGTGTGTGTGAGAGAGAGAGAGAGAGAGAGAGAGAGAGTTTGTTTTGCCTCTTTTCTTCAAAGTAAGGAAGCAAGGAATCAAAACTTTGATGGGGGAATTTATAGAGCCCATAAAAAGGACTGCTCCTCCTCCTTTCTGCACCAAAACAGTAATTACCAAAATTTAAATGGCGTGGGTCTTGTATTGTTTTCTTATATTGTTTATATAATCTACACAGTTATATTCTTGCTCCTGTGTCCATTAGATACCCCCTATCTTTTTGTCAACGAGACAACCCTGCCTCTCTTTTTTCTGTTTTTTGTTCTTTCTCCTATTCCACGTGCCAATGCCCATCCAAACTTGATCAATGCATATTTTTTTGCTTGCCATTTTTTTTTTCTAAATCAAGTTTTATTAATACTAGCCTCTTCACACACGCTTTTGCGCTTGCATGATGCTTTTTTTTAGAAAATTTTAAATTTATTTTAGAAATAAAAAATATAATGGGTAGTTGTGTTCCATAAAAATAGGATCCATTATCTGAATTTTCTTTTAATTTTAATTTTTTTAATATGAAAAAGTGTGAATTTTCCATATTATTCTCATTTAATTAATAATTTCAAATCTTAATGTTTGCATTAACCAATGACTTTTTTGGTTTTTTGAATGTTTCACCATTATCTGCCTTTTGCTTTATATATATATATATATATATATAGATAAAAAGCCAAATTCAATTACATCACAGTGAACTTAAAAAATAAGTTCAAATAAATGTAACATAAAAAGACACGAAGCCCGCTACAGTCATAAAACTCAAAACAAGTATAAAGCCCACTACTAGTATAGAGCCATAGCCAACTAAAGCAAAAAGCCCACCAAGCGTCGAAGGACCACTGCCGCCGTCGCCTCCATGAAAAACGGGACATCACCACCATACCAAGGAGGGGTGAAGGAACTGCAACTCCACAAGCACACATAAAAACGTATACAAAAACCACAAATTTGCCAACAAATCCGAAAATCCCTCACAATACATAAAACCATCATCTCAACAGGGATGACCTTGACTTTTGAGTGGCCCATGGTCAAAAATTAAAATGCGACCCTTTTTTCTTTGTATGCAATCATAATTTAACAAGGATTTTTTTTTTTCCACTTAAATATAGTATTAAATAAATTATTGTTAAGGAAGTACACATGCATGTTATAAAAAACCAACCGAGGAGTCTCATTAAACTACATAAATCATAGAAAACCATCATATTATTGACCACCCAAAAAAAAAAAAAAAAAAAAAGCCATCAAATTAGAAGAACTAAACATTTTTCATGAAGGATTGGATTAATTGCATATTTGTTGTTCCAAAAAAAATTATTATTTTTTAAATATGGGGCCTTCTATTGTTAAAGATTTGAACTCGTTTTTATTTGGGCATTTATATTTTTTTAACTTAAAAAAAATCACTTTATTTATGGGGTATAAATAATTATATATAATATACATATATTAAAAAATTTGGGCCCCTTGATCCGGGGCCAGAGGTCGTCGCCCTCGGGGTCCAAGCCCAGGGCCGGCCCTGTTCATCAACTCCATAAAAAATGAAATCACTAAAGCGCCAAAACGAAAATAGCATCCAATCAAAGAACAAACCCGGGAATACACTTTCCAAAACCAAGGAAACCAATGACCTGAGGATGGAAGGAGGTGGTGCAAGCACTTGAGCAAGTGCTCTACACACCTTCCGAAAGGTACACGAAAACTCGTGTTTGGGATTAGCCGCTGCAGCCAAATGGGATTGATAGGTCCACTAGGGCAGAAAAACTTTCTTGTAACGAGAGTAACATTGTTTTGCTATCCTTAAACAATAATACAATGACACGTGAAAAAATTATCATATTTATCGTTGCGCTATTCGGTGAAAATAGCAAAAAGTGATATGCATTATTAACTTAATGCATATTTATAAAAATATGACTGAGAGTTGAGACAAACAAAATTTTCCATTCCCTCCCATTGTGTTCAATTTAATTTTGGAGTGTTTTCTTTGTCTTTTGTAGTAAAACTGAGAATAATAATGGGAAAACAGAGTAGAGGGTTTGCGTGCATGCCTGCCAGCTTTGACAAGAGAGATGGGTGGGAGAATCCAGACATATCTTTTAAACCCTGTCGGAGGCAAAACAATAGACTTGTTGTATAAAACTCTGCACAAATTATTATCAGTTGCAGGACGTCTCACACAGAATAAAGGAAAAAAGAAAAATTGCAGGCGGTCCCATAAGCACTGCACAGTGCATAATTGAATTGAGGGATGATGTATCATCTGAGTACTGATTCCGCAACAGAAGGAGAGACTTCTTTGTAACCTGACACTACTTTATCCAATTCTATAAACTTTTAATAATAATACTTTGTTTTGCTTGCTTTGCTTTAAACAAGTGCATGTTTTCTAGTTTGATTTATTTGGCTTTTGTTTTATTCCCCTAGGTTAAAGCATAGATAGATAGATAGATAGATATGGACAATTATAAAGAGCATTGGGGAATAATATTTGTGCAACTTGGAAATCTGTGGTGGTGGTCGGGAATAACCCTAATTGGCCAATAAAATCTATCTAAACTGGATTAATATAAAACTTTGATACCCAGATTCGGCATTGTGAGGCTTATCTTTTAAGAGAACAGGGTTCCATGAACATTACCAAGGTCAACCAACTTGCACCAAGCAAATTTCTTGGCCTACATTTCAAATTCTAGAAGGATGATCCGCTGCTCCAGTTCAATTGTTGTGCAGCACAAGGTTTTTAGAGAAAAACCCACATACAATATCCAAGTTTTGATTCGTTTAGACAGTGCACAGTAGTTTTGCTATGTAACTGCAGCAGGTCCACTCTGCCACCAAGAAAGAATTACAGGGAGATGTGGTGATTGTAGTAGGCATGTGATGTGAGACTCGTCTTTTTATGGCTACTGTGACAAGATTTATATATATATATATATATATATAGAGAGAGAGAGAGAGAGAGAGAGGTGGGGGTCCATGTCTTGTTGGTTTTAAGTAGTCTCCATCTTCATCACGAGTCCATGACTTTTTATGTGGTTGATTGATCTGCAACATGTACATGTGTGTGTGTATAACAGAAGTGTAGAGTGTTCCATTTTATTAGATATAGAATTAATTACAGACGAGTGTGGTTTGTTGTTGGTGCGGGGTGGGGCAATCCAAAGACTTTTGGTGTATATACGATCTTAGATATATAGGCATGGATCAATCATTCATGCATGCTCATTGCTCATTGCTCATTGCTCACCACCACCACCTCTTCCTTCTCCTCCTTAAAAGAAGTGAGACTTGACAAAGCCAAAGCAAAGCACTAACACTCTCCCACTTCTTTTTTACTTCATCATAGAATTGGAAAAAGGTGGGAAAAAAGAAAAACAAACTGTGAAAGCCATCCATTTGATATTTCATCTTCTTCAAAGATAAAAGCTTTCTATATATACGGACCTTTGAGTGTATAATCACTACCCCTCGGGAGTTTCTCCCAAACCTACCCTACCCCCCGTTGCTTTAAGAGAGAGAGAGAGAGAGACAAAGGTTGACCATTGACTCCATCTAAAGATAGATTCAAATCAGCCCATTACTTTTACCAACTCCATTCAAATACATAAAATCTCAGTTTAAAAAAATCCGACTTAGAGTTTTGACATGATGGCATGCATGATACTTACAAATTTAGTAGTTAATTCCAGAGCAGGAGGAAGAAGGAGGGTCAACAAAGTTATCTTTTTATTAGTTTTGAATGATGAATTATTGACTGATTGACAATCTTAATGATAAAGGCAAACAGCTTCCCGCTGCTTTTGACCTTCCCTACCCGAATTTGATTTGTACTTTATAAAGCTGGATCATCCAAAGTCACTTTTCTAGTTGTCTCTGGGGCCTCTACTAAGCTCTCATTTCAAATCTCTGGTACCAAATTGTAATCAAAGAATTCTAGTTTGAAAATAAAACTGCTGACATGTGACCCTAACAAAAAGTTCAAAAGATAGAGAAACAAAGTTGCCAGCAAATTATTCGGTTTTGGTCACTGAAGAAAAGTAATGTTGGACCTTGTTCAAGGTAATTAACGGGCCTCACTGGGCCGGTTACACAAATTTGGAAGCTCTGCCTGTGGCCTATTATAATCTTGTCTCGGAAGAAAATTCATGAATCCGTCATTGATTTCGCTCATGTATAACTCAAATTTGATGTACTTATGTAAGTGAATCTCATGCTAAGAGACATGTGATGGGCAACATGATTAGTAATTCAATTAAAAATATGGAAGACTTACAATGATAAATAATTGGGATTGATTAGCTCTACACGACTTTAATATAAATACAATAATTCCAAGAGTGGATCAAAAGATATCACCCTCTATGAAATGAAAAGAGAATAGTATAAAGCTTACATGTACAAAACATGTAGAGGTTTATTGGGCTTTAGAAATACGGATTTTATTTGAAATATAGCTGTACCTTCCTTCGCTTCGCTTTTTTCTAAGCTTGTGGGTCTTGTATTATTGTGGTGAATCGAAATCCTTTAACACACACCAAAAAAAAAAAAGGGAAATAAAAAAAAGGTTAATTTAAACTAAGATTAATCAATGAATAAACAAGGATGATTGGTAACTTCAAGTGAACTGGTAAATTAGTAATTTCTTTGATTACTTGTTGAATTGGTGCGGTGTACAGTTCCTGCCAACAGATTGTCTGAGACGTTCCTGCAGACAAAATCAAAGTTGAGACAATCCTCCTAATGGTTAGATCAAGAAGGAACACATGCCACCTTTTTCTAGACGACTTAACAAAGGGAACCAATAAACTCACAAATGCTTCAGCTGCCCAAATCGAACCAGTTCAAGGACCACAAATGGTAGAGGGCCAGTGAGCCTGTTACTGTTTAAGTCCCTGAAAAATAAAATGAAAATAAAAGCGTGGTTGACTGAGTAGGAAAGAGAATTAACATGGACTTAGTCAAGTTAGCCAGAGCGGATGTGCTTCCAACTCTGCAACCGAGTTCAAATATTAAAAATAGAATATCGATTGTATCAAACTTACAGGATTTCCAAAGATGTCAAATTGCCAAAATTTGGAGGAATACGTCCGGTCAAGCTATT